TCTTTTGTCAGAATGCAATAACTTGCTCCGCCTCTAAAACAACTTTTTGGTTTACGCCAAAATGATAATATTTCACCCCATCACCTGGTATTTAATGGCCACTTTTCATTCTTGAGGGTTAAAAATGAGTCCCATCCTACTTAATGTTCATGTTGTATATCCTGTTTCACTCAAAAATGGAAATTCTGTTATAATTTGCTCACCCTCATGTGGTGCCAAAATTGTATGTCTTCTGTGGAACATAAAAGATGCTATTTTGATGAATGTTGCTAACTAAACAGTTTTGGTTCTCATTGACTGCAATTGTGTTTTTATCCAGACAATGGAATTCAATGGGAGCTGAATTGTTTGGTTTCATGTTACACAGAAGTAAGAAGTTCATATGGGTTTGGAACAGAATCTACAGAAATTAACTTTTCCATTACGGGTGTTGATTTCCAGAGGCATTTTTTTTTTACATTTGCAAGGTTCTATGTGTATACGAGACCGGACAGTGAGGGTGTCTGAGGTGTGTGCTTTTATGCAGGCTGGTAATGAGGTGCTTGATTGGTGACAGGTGCAGGTGCTCAGAACTCAGGTGAGAGGGATCGTTGTGATTGGGTGGTGGCGGAGCCTGGCCGATCTGTTACAGGTTAATTTTTATAATTACCTTATTAATTGTATCCGTGGTGACTTTAATGTAAAACACTTCAATTTAACCGTGCAGTTACTAAAATCAATCAGAATACTTTAAACTGTTACCAATAAACAATCTGTTTAAAACTGTATAGTTATATTTAAAACAAAAACAAAACAAAAAACAAAACAGGAACTCATAGGGCTGCAATGTAGTGACCAAATTCATTATTGTTGTAATAGAGATTATTAGATAGAATACATGTAAAAACATTTTGTTTGGTGAAACTGCACGTTATATTCTGTCTATAAAGACAAATAATAATAATAATAATAAGTGTTATTTATATAACGCCTATCCATAGCTCAAGGTCACTTTACATAGTGCTATACAAAACATTTGCACACCCACATACACAATACAAACACATAGGCCACATATAGCCACATTATCCAAAATGCATATTAAAAAGATACGTTTTTAGCTGAGTCTTGAAGGTAGACAAAGATGATATATTATGAAGTGTAAGGGGTAGCGAATTCCATAATTTAGGAGCATTAACACTAAATGACCTACCACCTACAGTGGACAGCCGAAAACGAGGAATGGACAAAAGACCAAGCTCAGATGATCTGAGAGACCGGGCAGGAGAATAGGAGTACAGTAGGTCAGACAGATATGGAGGCGCAAGACCATTTAATGCCTTAAATGTTAGAAGTAATATCTTAAAGTGAATACGTGATGCCACAGGTAGCCAGTGAAGATCATGCAGTAGAGGAGTAATGTGAGCAGAACGCCTGGTGGAGGTGAGAACACTTGCTGCTGAGTTATGAACATACTGTAACCTTTGTTATTATTTAGTTTAAGGAAATTCAAGGACATCCAATGCTTGATATCCCTGATACATGCAGTAAGTGAGTCAGGCAGTGATGATCTATCAGAGCTGGTGGTTAGGTCAATTTGAATGTCATCAGCATAGCAATGAAATTGAAGTCCATGCATGCGTATGATGTCACCGAGTGGATATATATAAATGATAAACAGAAGTGGACCACTATTCAAGGACATCCAATGCTTGATATCCCTGATGCATGCAGTAAGTGAGTCAGGCAGTGATGACCTATCAGAGCTGGTGGTTAGGTAAATTTGAATGTCATCAGCATAGCAATGAAATTGAAGTCCATGCATGCGTATGATGTCACCAAGTGGATATAATATATATAAATGATAAACAGAAGTGGACCAAGAACTGAACCTTGAGGAACACCCTGTGAAACTGGAGCAGTGGTAGATTTATACCCTTGTATTGTGATATACTATTTTCTATCGCTGATGTATGAAATGAGCCAGGAAAGAGCTGAACCAGTGATAACGATATCAGAAAGGCGAGAGATGAGTATTTCATGGCAGACTGTGTCAAATGCAGAGCTTAGATCGAGAAGAATCAAGATGTTTATTAACCCAGAATCCATGGACAGAAGAATGTCATTAACCACACGAAGAAGAGCAGTTTCAGTGCTATGTGATGAACGAAATCCTGACTGAGTTCAAAAAGGCCATTAGCATTTAAGTAAGATCTCAATTGTGAAGCCACAACTTTTTCAAGAATTTTACTTAAGAATGGTAAATTTGAGATTGGTCTATAATTGTTCATGTCTAGATGGTCAAGAACCATCTTTTTAAGAATGGGGGTCACCGCAGCCATTTTTAATTCTGCTGGAACAATGGTTAATCATATGTGCTATGAAAGGTTCAACCACAGGAACGATCTGAAAAAGCAAAATCAGTTCCACTAACAAGAATATTATATAAACCAGATGTACATATAAAATCCAATATATGACCCCTGGAGTGAGTAGCAAAAGTTACATGTTGAGTTAGACCGAAACAGTCCAGAACAGATATCAGTTTGTTGCATTGTACAGTGTTTTCATGTATATTAAAATCACCAAGAAAAATTACAGATGAATAACTAGCACAGACAAGAGTAAGTAACTCACTAATCTCAGAGAAAAAATCTGAATAAAATTTTGGAGATCGATAAATTAAGATTATGCCAGTCATTTTCAATGCAAGATATTCAAAAGATGCAACGTCATGGAACTCAATCTTAGATATTTTGATACTCTCACGACAAACTACAGCCAACCCTCCACCTCTACGATGGAGACGAGGTTGAGAGAAATAGATGTAGCCAGGTGGTGTTATGAGGTTTAAATTGAAAAAGTCATTGGGCACCTGCCAGGTTTCCTTCAAAAGTAGCATGTCCAGGTTTGCGTCAATGAAAATGTCATTTAGCACTGATGCTTTATCAGTTAAAGAGCGAGTTTTCAATAGCGCGCATCGCATATCTGAAGATGCAAAATTGCAGTTTCCAAGGACGGGATTAAAGCGTAATGGTCTCAGATTTCCAAAGTTGATTACACGATTTTCCTGTTGTGTTATACTAGAAGCACGGGTGTTGGTACAGATAACCATGTCCATGACGTTAATCTAGTCTAGCGCAAGTTATGCAAAAACTCCTGTTATAATCACTGAAACTGCGAAATGAATCTAAATGACATATTTTCTGCATTTCGTTATTTATGATGAGAGAATTTGCAACAAAACAAAACTCTTTTCAGTGCTGACTAATCTGTTAGCTGACTAATCTTCTGACTGGCCATCGTATTCATAAGCTGTATGTGATGGTTATAACGTTATATCAACGCTGCAAAAAAATAGTGTATAAAAGCATTCTGACACAACGTGTGCTGATCTAAATATTCCACGAAACACTTTTCATTCATTTTCACTTTTCATTTTAATCGCGTCAGTCGTAATAGATTTAATTTAATTGTGCAGGGGGGATTTTTGCCCCTATATCTTGAATTTGTGGGGAATTTTTGTTATTTTTTTTTTGGCATTTTTGCCACAAGCCCCTGTTTATTTCTGACCCTGGTTTGGAATGAGTAAATGATGACATGATTTTTGGGTGAATGATCCCTTGAATCTTCGATGTAATGTAGTTGTTGACTAAGTTTACAGTCTCAGATTTAAAATTTAGCATTTCAAATTTACGTTCTAAATATGACTTTCTTTTGTGGAACATAAAAAAATATATTTTGAAGAATGTTCATGCTGCTCTTCTCCATACAGTAAAAGTGTATGGAGATGATTACCATAAAACAGACTGAAATTTAAGTCTTTATTTGCTGAAAATCTTTCCCTGCAGCTCTCATATTTTAAAAATTAGTTATTTTTTTATTTCATTTTAAATGTTTTTTTTTCCACTTATGCATGAATTTATTTACAGTCAGTTACAAAGACTTATTTGACATATTTGATCTGTAAAATATTGGTGTGCAGAATTCATAAATGTCTAAATATATATTTATATATAAAACATTTTTGAATCATGCCCCACATTGGTGCCCTTCTGTGGTTGAAGACATCTATTAATCCAGAGAGGGGATGGGTGTAAAGGCTTAACCCTGATCTCTGAAAGCACTGCCTCAAAATTCTCTTTATTTATCAATCCATCTGCCGGCATTTCGCATCTCCTCCTGAAACTGGATAATTTAACACGCTCCTGCACTGTTCACATCAAAACTTCCAGCAGAAAGAGGCTTAATCCACCTTATCTGAAGCCCTGTCGCAGCAGTGAGCGAAAGCCTAATCAAAGAGACAGGCAGGGTCACCCGGGAGAGGGTCCGGCGGATGGCTGTATGATTTCTAATTGAGGGAGACGCTCACACTAGGGCTTAGTCTGCTCATGGAGTGCTGTGGTGTTTTGGTTGAAGATCTTAGCAGGTAACTGTGTAGATGTAGGTTTAAACCCCATGAACCTTTAGCATTGTGCCTTTGGGAAAGGCAATAAACCCCAGGTAACCCCAGGTGGATTTTCCCTGTAATTGAAATGCACATACACTATATACAATATAATACACAATATGAAAGAACATACAATACAAAACAGAGCATATATATATATATATATATATAGAGAGAGAGAGAGAGAGAGAGAGAGAGCAACAAATCAGTATATTAGAATGATTTCTGAAAGATCATGTGACACTGAAGACTGGAGTAATGATGCTGAAAATACAGCTTTGATCACAGGAATAAATTACATTTTACAATATATTCATATAGAAAACACATTTTAAATTGTAATAATATTTCAAAATATTACTGATTTTACTTTATTTTGATCAAACAATTGCAGCCTTGGTGAACCTAAGAGACTCTTCTCAAAAACATTAAAAATCGTACCGTCTCCAAAGGTTTGAACTGTATTGTACTTGGATGAAACTCTTTTTTTTTAACATAACATCAAAAACAAGTTAAAAAACATGCTGAGCTGCTGTTTGGGTCATAACTTACATTTTTTTTGTCTTCTAAGGGGAGCTGAAAATGGTTGGTGAAGGAGGAGAGAGAAGGATTTGTTCTTGTCAGGCACTTCTGCTGGGCACCACGTGGGGACCTTTCCCTGGGAAGATTGAGGCGGCCACAGGAGGAAGTGACAAGGTGGGTTCACTTATTTGTTATGAGGGTGAATTCAAAAGGTACATTCGGGCAAAATGTGAACACGATAACCTGATTTCCCTAGGACATTTCTGTCTAATGAATTCATAATTCTGAGTTGTGAAACAATATATACGCAGGTGACAAATTTATTTTTCACTTACCAAGTCTGGAAGCTTTTTTAATGCTATTTTGATGCTTGCAACAAAAATGAACAGAAAATAAGATATGCTTGTCTCTGATTGTTTATATGACAATGATAAAAAAACAGAAAAATTGTTGTTGCTCCTGTCAGAGCGGGGAGAGGCCGATGGAGGCCTGTGCTGGCCTGATAAGGGGAAAGAGGATTCAGCGGAGAGAGAGAGAGAGACAGAAAGAGAAAGAAATGACTCAAGGAGAGTGGAGTGCTGTGTAGACTGTCTTTTTCGTGAAGTATTCCCACACAGTCAGATCCACGCAAGCCTCTCTCTCTTTCTGACGCTCCATTCTGAAACTGAGGCTTTAAAAAGAGACAGCATACATACTGTAAGTGAGTCTGCAGGTTGCACGTGCAAGGTAAACAAAGTATGCGAAACATTTGTTTGGTTCTAACGGGTTTTTACTGGTGTTTGTTAAGACAAGGCAGCATCACTGTTACTACCGCTCATACTTTAGGTTCGTGATCTCAACAAACCTCTAGAGTTAAAGAGATGAAAATTCTGTCATCATTTAATCACCCTCATGTCGGTCCAAACCCATAAGAATTTCGTTCATCCTACAACACTAATGAAGAGGTTTTGAATCAAATCTAGAGATTTCTATCCCTCCAATGAAAGTCTGTTCACCCAAAACTCTGAAGCTTCAAAACATTTGTAAAGAGATCAAAAAAATTAATTGATATGACTCCAAGTCTTTTGAAGAGATGTGATCGCTTTATTCACATATACACACTGATCAGCGAACATAAACAGAAGCTGTTTTGATCTCTTTACGAACATTTGGAAGCGTCAGTTTTGGGTGAACAGACTTTCAATGGAGGGACAGAAATCTCTAGATTTGATTAAAAAATATCTTCATTTGTTTTCCGAAGATGAACAGATTTCTTATGGGTCTTCATTTTAGGGTGAACTATCCCTTTAAGTATTAAAGGGGACATCGAACGCCCATTTTCCACAAGTTGGTATGATTCTTTAGGCCCGGGGAGTCTAAACTCAGTCCTGGAGGGCCACTGTCCTGTAGAGTTTAGCTCAATCAAGTATTCCAGAGAGTCATGTTGTAATAACAACAATTAGTTCATATTATTTTTCTCTAAACGTGTAGCCTTTAGAAAGTTTGAAAGAAAGTAAATCATGAAAAATGATCAAAAACAAACATTTTTTCTGATGTTTCAATTAGTTGTATCAATTACTCACAATAAGACCAAGAACATTTATGAAGTACATAGAGTCAATTTGAATTTCACTTTCACCATTACTTAAAAAAAAAAAAAAAAAAAAAA